CATATCTATGTGGATAAATTCTTTATGCATCTAATACTGGTGGTAATTAATAGACTTATTTTTCCTGAAGTGCAGGAAACAATAATGGCCAGGTCTGCTACAAAAATGAGGGCAGAATTCTTCAGAAAATATGCTGCACAAAAAGGTCAAGTAGGACCATTTTATGAATAAATCATGAAATACTTTCTGACTAGAATCTTGTTCTCCTTTCAAACAAGCAAAGAAGAGAATCAATCTTTTTCTTACTGGGAATTCAATCCCACCTCCTGCATCAGAAAAGTTCCCCCTTGACTACAGAAGGGAATTTATGCCATTTACTCCTCAAACTTTTTTTTTTCTTTTGTTGTTGTTGCAAACAGAGATGTAAAAATAGAGAGCGTTATGGGAAGAAGAGGAAACCCATTAGCCATTTTATAAGGTTTCCCCTTCTAATGTAAAAATCAGAGCCCTTCTTCTTGAAGGGTCTATATGCAGGAGAAAAAGAATCTGTAGATCACTGTGACTTAGAGCAAATCTGTATAATCTGAGGCATTAAAAGCACCTGCACAGTGACTTCTGGAATACAAACCCAGCGAAGGGCTCCCTCATTGAGCATGAGCAGAGGAGGAGACCTTGCCTGGCCTACACAGGGTTTATCATCCCCAAAGAAAGGAGAAGACCACAGACCACACTGCAAATATTTGGATGATCTTGGAGAGTACTTTCTGAGGGGTTCTGTAAATAGCTTTTCTTCTGAAAGTCACCTGGGTGATTTAGCTTTAAAATGCAGAATCTCTATCCAGGGCTTTTGTATTTCTCTAATGGTTCCCCTTTTCCTTTTTCATGATGAAAATTTCTTTGGAGAAAGACCACACAGCTCTGGCTGAGATGGGCAAAACATTGCCACCTGCGGTCAACTGCACAAGAAGGACTGAAACAAAAATAAAGACTAGAGGATCTACTCAGCACTTCAAAAAGATCTGTATATTTAAGTATTTTTTTAAAGACAAAGTACTTATAAACCATAGGAAGACTGAAATATCTTCAAGATGGTGGTATTARCAGAATTTTTTTGAACATACAGAACTACAGCTTTCTGTTGAACCTGAACACAGGCCACTCTGACCTTAGGATGCAGAAGAAAAAATGAAATAAAGCATCTGAATGCCTTTTTATTTTCCCCTAGTGCATAATTCCAATTATTTGCAACATTCACTGACACTGCTAAGCTGCCCAAAGTAGCTCCTATACTGCCTAAAGGCAGCACGGGGCTCAGGAGGAGGCAGGGGGGCTACTGTAAGGGAATCAACTGCACAGAGCCATGGAAAGTGATAATGCATCAGGAAACACCTGTAATGGGTGCCAGTGCAAGATGGAATTAAACCTGAAATGCAGTCAGCAGGAGCACAGGCCAAAGATGGTATCTTTAGAGATGTCCTGTGCAGAAACACCACTCAGTTTCAAATGAAACTCRCGTTTACCTGGAGTGCTCTTCTGTTGGAAGCAGCGGCACGGCCAGGGCTCCGAGGACAAAGGCATGGAAGACACATGGAAAATGCAGCGGATTCCATCCCTGGGAACCAGGCAAATCCCTCTGAAGCCCAGACCACTGGGTTTGKTTTTTTTCAGCTCAGCTTAGATATGTAGCTTAAGCAAACTATCYCGCAGCAACTTCTGAAGAGCAGAAGGCCTAAACCCTAGTCTAATAACACTGCAGTACCAATCTTGAAAAATCCCAAAAGTCCTCAATTATTTTACACCGTTAAATATAAACATTGAACAACTGAGTAAAAGTTTTTCAAAGCAAGGCTACTATTTCAAAATAYGCTCTTTTTCAAGCTTTTCAGTCCATTCAGTGTTTTGGATAAACTTAAGAAGAGATGAAATTCTGAAGCTAAATAGTCAAGTCTTTCTCTTAAAAAATTATTCTAATTAAATTATTTAGGATCTTTCTGAAAGCACAGCAGAAATTTCGTGAAAAAAAATAAAACCTTCTTATTGATTTTGTGCTTATCTAGTTAACATGAGGGATAATCACAAGAATAATGCCTGTATTACTGAAAAATCAATACATTTAACTAGTTTTTTTTGATAGGCTGAAAATTATGCTCAGCTACCAACGGTGATTTCCCAATTTACCTGTTCCATTTTCCTCTCCCGAGAAACACCCCGAAACCTTTACCAAACTTGCTCGCCTTCGTCACCGCTCGGCCCGTCACGCAGCCCATCTGTGCAGATAAAGACGTCGGCATCTGCTCTACGGCAGACGCTCCCGGGGGCAGATGCTGGGAGCCCCRCGCTCCTGCCGCTGCCTGGGCCACGTTCCTGGAGCAGATGTCCTCCGCGTGAACGTGGCGTGTCCCCCGGCGAGACGCCGCCGGGCCAAGTGCCGCGGCGCTATTTGCACCTGCATGTGCGTTAATGATGGAAAGGCAGCGGGGGCTCCTGCTGCTGAGAGCCCAGGCTGAGAGCTGTTCACGTGGCTAATTGCAGGCTGGCATCTCCTGGCCACGTAGGCACGCTAACAGCCGCGCACAATCTACTCAGCCACACACAAGGATTTTTTCAACCATATAATAATTTTTTTTTTTTTATTAAAACAAAGACAGCCAAGAAGTAGAACTACAATTCTAGCTTGTATGAATATGCTCTTCCAACCTATATCATAAAATCAGAGAACAGCATTGAAGGAGCTCCTAGGTAGACAGACACAGCCTCACCTACACCTTCACTTCATGTCTGAGTCATCTAACAAAAGGGTTTTTATTAAGCTGACAACGCTACTCATCCAAAGCTATTTCAGCCTCCTACAAGCCAACAGCCTGCAATGATACTTCATGCAATTAAGGAACAGCACCAAAAAAAAAAATTTTAAACTTGCTCAACAGCAAATATCAACATGAATGTGAATTACACATGCAATGCTCCAGTGGTGATTTCAGAATTCCTAGGAAACAATTAAAATCTCAGAAATTAAATGTCTCAGTACTCAGAAAAAAAGCAGCTTTTTCAACAGAGGGAATCAGTGGGTGGTTGCAGAAGTGACAGAATCAGTTTTCTTATGAAATATTTTGAGAAAAACACACACATACTAAATGAGTATATATTAAATTACAAGACTCCTGCATGACGAATGGCAGGAGAGAAAGATTTACGCTGCCAGTCAAAAGAACCTGCACTAATCATTACTTCCATACTACTGAAAAATAACAGGCACTYTCAAAGCAGAGCAAGGCTGGGAGAAACACTATCCTGTGCGTAACCCACTGACRGGCCCTACTGCCAGGACCAGTTTTTAATGTCTTCAAACCCCTTCTAACAAATGTGCCAACCTACAGTAGCATGTAAATTATTAAAAATTGTTAACACACTTCTAGCAGTTTCTAAGCAGAATGACACATTTAAAAACAAACCTGATGCTTGATACAAGGCCAACGTAACGGTGGGGGAAGCCAAAGGCAAGCACAGTGAGCCAGGCACCTTTGCAGAGCCCCGCGGTTCCGTGGGGCAGGGCTCTTACCCAGGAGCAGGTTACGGCTGTCAGCACGACCACCGCTTCCAAAGTTTAGAGGAGGGCTGCTATAGCTCACTGGGGGTGAACGCTGATAACAGGATATCAACTGGTAGGATTTCTCTTTAGAAGAAAACCCTAAAGCAAATGATTCATCACTTTTAAGTGTTGCAAACAGCTTCACAGTTTACATTTTTCCTCCTATTATTCAGGAATGGCTTTAGCAAAGACAACATTAAATTTGACTACAAACTCCTCAAATCTCTATTATTCAAAAGAAAAGTTAAAGTTTTCAAGCATTAGAATCTCCTCAATTCTCTATTATTTAAAGCAAAAGTAAAATGAAAGCTTTCAAGCACTAGAATTAACTATCTGAGTCACAAATACACTCACAAGGTGCCCACTGCAAGGTGGATGGCTTTACCAGGCTTAACTCCTATCCAATYCGTCTCTTCCTTGAAGAAGGGTGCCCTGAGGCACAGAACTCATCAGCTAAGATAATTTACACATCACCCTGGAAGAGCTTCCTCAGAATGACTATGGTGCCATCAAAACACTACATCTGTCAAAACAAGTARAACAGAAATGTTCATGAGAGGAAAAGCTCAAGGCTTACAGTTAAGTAATAATTTCTGCTTTTTTCCCCCATTAATTAATGTAAGCACTGAAAACGGACACCTAACTGGCAGCCTACAATTGCTCTGAAGTCTGTCACYGCCAACGTCACACGCACCAGACATTCCCCCACATTTTAGAACCACCATTCAAGCTGACGTTCAAGTTAAAAACCACATTTAAACATTAGTGTTGTGACACATGTTGTGACATCATGTTCCTCCATGAAAGGAAATGTAAGCTACAGATAACATGTAGAGGCCTGGGTATACGCTCTGACAGCAAAAATACCTTTACTAAGAGCGAAGAAAAAAATTTGGATGCTAACTACTGAAAAATCAAAAACTGAATATACAAAAGAATAATAACAGTTAAGTAGRAAAATGTCACTAAGGACAGAATTGTTGGGAAATAGTGCTGAAATACAAGATTATAAATTTCTCAATATTCATTATATTTTTAAATTTAGATACATATAGTGATCTGTACTATTCTTTTACTCTAGCTTGAAAATTGTTACACTGTTGGACCCCAAATTATACCCTTCATCAAATATAACAATGATTTTTAAACATATCCGGATAAAATAATTATAATACAATATACAAGGCAACAAATCTGGATATTTAAATCTGCTGAAGCAACTAAGAGGTTGAGCTATCTATTTACAGCTTCAACTACAGATGGCAACAGTTATTAGTAAAGCACCAAATAAAACAAGCTTAGCCATTGTGATTGTTTTAAATAATAAAAGCTACAGGATTGTAGTTGTTTTTTAAAAGAACAAATTAGGATAGACTAGAATACATGAGTAATAAAGTTACTTATTAACAATGATAATGCAASTCATAAACCATCTCTGATTTCCCTCAGAAGCATAGAAAGCATACTGTACCTGCAGAAAAAGTTAAAGGATTCTGCATTATGCCCTCTAATAAACACGACAACGTTCCTGGAAAGAAGAAACACACACACTTAGAAGTTTGGAAACTTCTTCAGAAACTAAAAATGTTAGCAGTGGAGTATATTACATTACGACCAGATTTCAAACAAACAAACATACAAAAAAGCCACATTTTGGAGAGTGTTTTTTTAAAAATCACATTGAAGTTTTTGAATATAAAGAGAGGAATCACAAGCAAGCTATTTACTTTCATATGCACAAACCAAATATTTTTATAGGCTATTTAATGAATTTTATTGTTATATTGGTAAAAGGAGTTCAAAGAATCTTGTGTTATGTTTCACATTGAGACATCTCGAACTATTTTATAAGAACTGGATGAGCATGTAAACAATCATGAAGTCAACAAAACTTTTCTAAAGTATACAAACACTTCTATGTCTTTTCATGCTTTTTCTTAGATTGGTATTTTAACCCAATTCAGTGATTGAAGAAAACATCAACATTCAAACTGATTTTCAAAAGACACAGTGCAAGTGCTAATCAATGCAAACCCAAAGACTGCCACATGTCCCAGCAAAACTACCTCATACTTGGCATGAAAGGCCTATTTTTTGCAGGTGATAATTTAGCCAATTGAATAGTTACTTTATGAAATGATACCTTCAAAATTACACTAAGTGTTGCTTTACGTTCAAGCCTCATCACAGAATCACAGAATGGTTGAGGTTGAAAGGGACCTCTGGAGATTATCCAGACCAAGCCCCCGGCTCCAGCAGGGACACCCAGAGCACGGGGCACAGGGCGACATCCAGGCGGGTTTGGAAGATCTCCAGAGAAGGAGACTCCACAGCCTCCCTGGGCAGCCTGTGCCAGGGCTCTGTCACCCTCACAGTGAAGAAGTTCCTCCTCACGTGGAGATAGAACTGCCTGTGTTTCAACTTAAACCCATTGCTCCTTGTCCTGTCACTGGCCACYACTGAGAAGAGTTTGGCCCCATCCTCCCTACATTCCCCCTTCATGTACTTATACATAYTGATCAGATCCCCTCTCAGCCTTCTCTTTTCCAGGGAAAAGAGACCCAACTCAGTCTTTCCTCACATAGCGATATAGCGATCCCACTGCAGCAGTAATTTTCCAAAACTCTGTTCCTTGTATAGGACCCAGGATGTCCATACCCCATACAAACAACACTGCAGTTTTCTATGAAGCGTTTCTTGAGTTACARATATGTCCACATGCACTATTCATACTTCAGTAGCTGGTACAACTACCAGTTTTCTTGTAATTCTAAACTCCTTTTAAAGCAAGAAAAAATGAGAGCATCTCACAACGTGTATTTGATAACGCATTGCGAAGAATGCAGGGCTAATGCAATCCTTTTCCTTCAAATATTTGCCCACAAGGATCCCATGTAATTGATAACAAGCAGAATCTTCCTTAGAACCTCAGCTGAAGAATCTTAGGCCACATTTGCMAAACAGACATCGCATGGCCAACCCTCTCCAGAAGAGCTTTACGTGGTATCTGATGTACAATGTTCAATACAAACTGGCACTACATCAAGTTGTCACCCAGGGACTTAGAGGTTGGCCTGTTTCTTTCCAGTACRGTCAGGGTGTGTTGCCTGGTCAAGTCTGACTTGATAGACAATTGTGTAAGACATAGTATAAYGTAAGGATAACATAAAATAAGGATCACTAAGACTGCCTTATTATCCATTCTGATGTGCGATATGACACACTGACTTTGGAACAGCTGCCTTGAGCTTAGCTTTACATATTAAAGTGAAATTCATGAGTTGTGCAGGGTACTAAGCTCTTGATGTGGTTGGAGGCTTTGGGAAGGCCACACACAAGACCATTGACTAAGATGAAACTTCCAGCTACCTGGAACARGCAGTCCCTACCACTGTGTATCTATAAATATCTCCCAAGAGCAGAGCCAACTGTGATGTTGTGAAGKATATTTATTTTTCTGGTTAATGTATCACTCAGTAGAATCATAAACAAAGAAGAGGGGTGAGCTCAAGAGTCTCCTAAGCACATTAGTATGAAAAGTTTTGTTTTGAAAAATTATTTAGGACAAAATCTGCCACAATTACATAACATAAAAGTAAGCCTCAAATACTTGTCTATCATGCAACTGGTGATTCTGAAAAAGCACTAAGAGTAACATATAAGAGAGGCAAAACGCAAGAGCCCTTGCAGGAGGTTGAACACCAACAGACAAAGTGGCTGCAGCAGCGAGGCCGCTCGGGCAGCAAACCGAGGTCGATTTTGGCAGCCCCGAGCCCGTGCTGGGCCGCAGGCCGCGCGCCCTCCCGCGCCCCAGGCGGGGCTGGCGGCGCCGCTCCCTGCGCCGGGCCTCACAGGCCTCTGTCCGTGGTGCTTACGCAGCCAAGGCCCAAGAGTCAGGCACGGCCTACGAGGGGACTTGGTCTCGTCTAAACCCATGTTTCACATCGTGCCGACCTCCACCAACAGCCTCAGCAGCTCCGAGAGAGGAACAGACCAAACCGGCCTTAACTAGGAAAGCGAAGCACTCCCAGGAACCAGCGGGGATTTTCCACTTGCCACCTGGGCTGTCGTACATTTTTTTTTGCCCCATATCACTCGATGAAGTCTCCTTACAGAATGATGGTCGTATACTTTCTTTCCACTCTAGCACTGTCAGTACATGCAGACATACTGAAGTCGTTTTCACACATATAATTCTTGTGAAGAGCAATTTAAGAAACAGGTGTTCAAATGAAGCTTCTCAATATATTCATTTCCAAATTTCCATACTTTGAGTTGAATAGCACATTAAAACACTTAAGAGACTACCTCACTTATGGTTACTAGTTCCCCTTCTGATTATAACAATTAGTCAGATTTAAGAATATATAGAGATAATTCCTACAATAATACACAGAAATAACAAGATCTACATCATCTTCACAACTCCTAACATTAAACAGTGAGGCTCTACAAAATGAAACATTCTGTACCAATATCTCTGTTTTGAATCCAGCTTGAAGAGCAGAAAGATCTCTCTTGACCTAGCAGACGTTCTCGTTTGACTGTTTAGTTCATTATCAGCTACTGCCAGTGAAAAAATTTCAATGAAAAATGAATATGTATTATAGTACATTTTTATTGTATACAAACACAATCTAGAGAAAAATATGTAACTTCGTGCAACTGCCATGTCTGCGTTTACCCAATTTCCCAATTTTGCTGGCAGTGAGGCTTTCTGATCACTGACTAGCAATAGCCTTGGAAGCAGCCTCACCCCAACCATCCTGGATCTAAGGATTCATGTTCCTGCACCACTGACAGCTGCTGAGATCTTTCAGCCACGTTGTAACACATTTAAYAGACACTCAATATCTACAAACATTTGAGGCATGTCCACAAAGTATAGGGATATTTTATCAAAAATCAAAAAGTCCTGAGATTCTGGCAGTGTACAGTACAGAAGCTGAAGGTTACAATACCTATACAGATATCTATACCTGCCTCAGTAGAATTCACCAAAAAAGTATCTTGCCATGGCATTTTCCTTAATTACAGACGGGTTTCAAAGCACTTGCATACAAATTGTTGAGCACTTGTAGTAAAGGTTCTTTCCAAATACAAAGTGTGAGGCTGATTAGCCCCATCACCTGGCTCCATTTCCCTCCATCCTAACGGAGTGAGCYTATCTTAATGACAGGATCCACTCAATCCGAATCCAGGATTTAAAAATTCTGTGTAATCTTGAGATCTGTTCTACTCTGCTTGTAAAATTAGTACAGAACAATAAACAAATCGTTCAAGATCAACCACCTCAGAAGGCACAACAGTTCCCTAGAATAATGTTGACAGCTCAGAAGTGAAAAGCAAGTTGTTACCAGGACTGTAAGTTAAAGTTGTCTTGGACAGAACTAAAAATGTAATTTATTTCCATGCTACCATTACATCCTCTTTTGACTTTACCTCACTCCTTACATCACCACACAAAAGTCAATAAAAACAAAAATATCAAATAAACTGAAAATAATCTTAAAACTGTCTTATAAATCACTCTTTAGCACACAATCAAAGGAAGCAGAGCATACACTTTCAATAACTKAAGAGTAAGTTTCATATAAATATATGCACAGTCTTTTATACAAAATTGGTGCTCTGATACATACGCTGAATCTGAATATCAGGTGAACCTAATTAACCTAATTTGATGCTTGCCCATACTAAGACATTTATTTTAGATGTTACACAAAATCCTTGAGGATACTATTAAAAAAATGGATAAATAGGCTGCAAAGGTTATGACATTAATTTTACTGTCATTCTCATGCTTTAAGCAGGCATAAAACGAAAAATCTCATCCTCTGGGAAGGAAAAACTATCTGAAAGTAATTATAGTACTTATTATCATAATAGCATTAAACTAAACCACAATGACCCTAACTGAATTTATTTTTGGTGCCTTTTGTTAGAAGAACAAAGCTTCTCAAAGACTGTTCCTTCAAATGCAGAGAACACCAGCTTGGGTACTAGAAGAAAACATTATATCAAATCTTGTACTTTCATATTAAGCTTAATTACAAATTGTGATTTAAAGCTAGGCATGTAAAGAACTATTAAATAATATTATATAATTTCATTTCAGAATCAAAACATTCAGYTAAAAGGAAACATTAAAGACATAATGCAATTTAGAAAATATGTTCTCCTAATAGAAGCCCGAGATGCCCATTTGTATTTTAAAAGCAATTTCAGTTACTTCATTTTTCACAACTGCSCTTCCACAAATTGTGCCATCTCATAAACGAGGCTGCGCTGCAACTGTTATTGCCTGAAATTTAGAAATCCTTCCTCAGAAATTCAGTTCCCCCCACTGAAGTGGGAATGAAGGGTATTTACCAGTCCAATCATTGTAACTCCCAGAAGAAACAGTAAAATCCCTAAGCATTTTAAGGCTGAAGTAGACTCAAAGCAGAAGACTAAAACGCTGAAGCTATGCAGTACAACACAACTCCCAGGGAAGGTAGGAGTGACGTACCTAACGGCTCATCAGTG